TGTTCAAGGCATCCATTGGTGCAATCGTTTTGCCCAGGCTTTTCAAAACACAATGAAGTAATCTTTTACGCTGACAATACAGGGTCTAACAGTCTTTTCTTTCCATTGCTCTGTTTAAACATTAACCTCATTTTTATACAGAAAGCCTTTCAGTGATCAGAAGTTATGTGCGGCTTCTGTAGTAAAAACTGTCTCTAGTCACTTTACACTAATAAAAGGAAGAATTGCAGTCGCCCTTTCAGAACATAGAATAATAATGCAGGAATCTTTGCCCACAAAACTGCACAGTTTCTATTAACCTTTTAGGCAACGGAACAGACAAGTCTCCCAAAGGAAGTAAAATATTTGAAAACTATTAACAGTCCCTATTTTTTACAGAGCTGAAAACATTAGCAAAATATGCAGGTCAAGTTTATACTGGTTAGTAGATGTAATTTACGTGTACAAGAGTGGGCAGGCATAATAGGCTGGATGAAAACCCTTGAATGTAGGCGCTCTAATTACAACTTTAACAAAATTAACACTAGATAGCCCATTCTTTTCTAATGTATATGACTAAATGAAAATACTTTAAAATGTTTTGAACACACCACTGAGTTACCCAGAACAATAGGCTTTAAAATCATTCATAAAACCGTTCAAAGCCAACACTAATTCTCCGTGATACACAAGACTGGTGCTTTCTAAAAATATAACTTTAGGCCTGTGTATGATATGAGATGAAAATTTATATTTCTGAAAGAGCTTATTTGTTTTTCAGAAAATCTGACTAAAGCACTGACATTAATTCTACTGCTAGAATTGGAATGTTATATATTTCATGCCCGAAAAACAGCTTGTTAATCACAACTACTTTAGTGCGGTAAGTATGTTCTGAAACAGACAAAGACGTATAGACCAGCAAGTGTCCTCGTCTATCCAAGCAGCCACACTGCTAATCAAGGGCTCCTTTGGCAGAGCTCTTGCTGGTGCTGGCCATCTAACTTTGTCCCTCTCCTTTCTGTCTGTTTCTCCTTCCCTCTGTTTCTCTTGAGTTATGGACCTCCACCACATAGAGAGGCCTCAATGCAGTTTTTAAAAATAACAAGTGCACTGTGCAGTACCATAAGCAGCAGAAATAAAAGATGCCATTATAATAATTTTTATGCAAGCCTCTCCCATGTTTGTGTGTTAGTTTAAAGGTAAGTGCTCCCATCTCACCCCTTCCACTCTTCCCCCTTTTACTACCAAACTCGCTGACACTTGTCTCCATTGCCTCACTTTCCACTTACTCTTCAGCTCAGCCTGTTCTGGTTTCTACTTTTTGCACCCCATGAAGACAGCCCCTGCCAAGGTGGTCAGACTTGCTTGACATCTGGGAAGGAATTGACCCTCTTCACCAAGTCTTCATCCCCCCCAAATATTTCTGCAATACTTTGCTTCTTTGCAGTCATTTCTGCTTCTCCAGCTATTCCCACTTTCTCCCTTCACATCTCCTCTTCATCACCTGACACTCTAAAGTTGTTCCCCTTGACTTGTGGCCAAAGTGTTTTTGCCTGACTCACCTTATAAACTCCATGTCTTCAGTTATTCTCTAGATGGGAATTGAGTCCTAAATCTCTAGCCTCTTCTTGCTCTCCCACTTGTTCCTAACACTACTGTATATAACCAACCATCTACTAACTAGACTTGTATTCCTGGATGGCTCAAACTCAACCTGTGGAACTGAACTGATCGTCTTTTTCCTCCAATCTTCCCCCTTTCAGCACTCCTCGTCTCAGTAAACGGCACAACGTGAAATGAGTTTTCCAAATCAGAAATCTAACCATCAGCCTTATCTGTTCCCTCTCGTGCTGCCACACCGGTAAATCAGTCACCAAATCCTGTCCATTCTTCTTCCTTACTGTCTTTCAAATTGGCCATTGGTCTCTTTCCCTACAGTCGCCACCTGGGTTTTTAACACCATCTTTTCACAACTGAGCTACTAAACTAAAAAAAAAAAAACCTCAACCAGTTCTTTCTCAAATGTCCTTGGTGCCTTCCACCAGGCTGCCATCAGAGCCACTCTCCTCTTTGTCAGCAGAGTGATCCGTCTTATGGGAAATTCTTTCATGTCACTCTTCTGCTCAAGGCCTTCTGAAACCTTCCCATTGTCCTCAGGCTTAGCACCCTTCAGGCTCTGGAGCTGCCTCTTAACTTTCACTCTAGGAATGGCTTGAGGACCATGTCCTGGGCATAATGACCTTCTGCTGTCATTGTATCAGTTTTTTATTCTGGAACCTAAACACTTGCTCCAGGAACAAGGAGACTTGGGTCCTGTTACTAGTTATACTGCTCTCTACCCTATCTTAACATAGTTTCTCTTATAGCCATTTTAAAAAGAGAGAACTGGATTCCCCTGATCTCCAAGTTCCTTCATGGCAGATCCAAATTGTAATAGTTCTTTGTCCCTAAGAAAAGACTTCTCTGAAGGGTTGACACATCAATGTGTCAGTGATATCTCTCTATCCTCTGAATTCAACATTTAGTCTTTATCATTTATTATTTATGAATACATATCATCTATTATGTTATAGAAACTATGGAAACTGATATAACCGAGTTTTAAATTATATGAACAATTTCTAAGTCACCAAGAGATATTATGGCCTTAAATTTCCATAATTCAGAAGCTCAAATACAACATCCAAGTGCTGTTTCCTTCCACGAGGCTAACATCAGTATACTGCCTTTATCCTTAAGCTAGCTGACATCATGGTTACTTCTTCCAAACTTCATATCTAAACCTGACAGTGTATTTCTTAACCAATGTTTCTCTTAGAAATGAGAATTCCTTTCCCAGAAGTTCTCTGGCAGATCCCACCCCCGACTCTGTCTCATTGGCCAATCTTGAGTTACATGCCCATGTCTAAGTCAGACATTGGCCAGGAATGTAAGTCCACTAGACTGGTTCAGTCCAATCATCCTTCAGCCTCCCCTGGATTTCTCACTGTGCAGAGGAAGGCTGTAACTTGAAAAGGACTTTTGGTAGAATGTATGATGGTATGATGACAGAGGCTAACATTGGTTAGAGCTGAGATAATTCCTTCTTCCCTGTTTGAGCTTGTTTCTAAATAGACTGCAACTTCTCTGGACCATATTTCAAGTTGTCTCTGATTCAACATGGGGCTTAGCACACCACCTTACATGAAGTAGGTACTTCATAAAGATAGAACTAAAGATTAGTTTTATGGAATTCACTAAAACTGGATCAGTAAAGCCCTTAAGGATCATCTAAAGGGAACTTAGGAATCACATCATACACAGGATCTATTGTCTCGTGATTTGTGATAGCAGGATTTTTCTCTTTAGAGAGCCATTTTTCTGTGTATTCTGGTAAATCATTGATCACCATAACCACTGGAGGAAGGACAACAACCCTCCACTTCTTTGACTTGCTAATTAGGAGGACAAAATTCCATGATTCTTCCTCTTTTATGCTATGCTGAATTTTTTAATAACATCCCAAGCTGAGCAGGGTTAGTAGTTAAGACTTAAGCTTGTTGTGGCTTTAGCAGTAATACTTTTATGACACCAGGATACTTTTAGCCCCCAATATTTTCCCCATTCTTTGTGAAATTCTTTATTCTTTACACACTGACTGAACATGTGTCTTTATTTTGCTGAATGTCTAAAATTCCATCATCTCTTTACATTAACTGGCTTCTCCCTTTAATGTGCCCAGGGCTGTTAGCACGTGAAGACAGAGAGCCGCCATTGTCCTCTTTGGAGGGAACTCATTTAAACTGACACAGTCACTGACTTCTGGTGTTGAAATCTACCTGTCTTGGTTGGCAGTCATCCCACAACAAGGTGTTATATGAAGTGCTGGAATTTTAATTAGTTAGGAAAGGGGAGAGGGTTTGAAGTGATAATTTTTAAGCAAAATCCCTTCCAAACCAGACATTACATTAGAAATACATGAGATTGTTTTCAAACACTGAATCCTGAGCCCCAAATCCATAAATTTAAGTCAAACAGTAGCTCATGAGTTAGTACATAAGAGCAACGCTAAGGCAAGGTTGGGCAGTTATAGCTGGTAAGCCAGGGAGGAAGGGAGTTCCCTTATCAAAGGGCCGGCAGCCTAAGGCTGCTGAGGGACTCAGGATGAGAAGAAAGAGGAGGCTTAGGATGGGATCCAGGATTACCTCAAGTTTTTCCTTTTTGTTGCAAAATAAAAATTGCCCTATTTTGTAAATTTCCTTGGCGTTGTCTCTTCTAGCTTTGGACAATGGTCAATTGCAAAGATATAATAGGAAAAGGGAAAAAGCAACAATGCAGCTAAGCCAAAGAGGCTATTTTATTGCTAAATATGATATGATCAGGTGTAGTCAGAACAAAGGACAGTATATACTGCATATCGGCATTGCACACTTACGGCTACAGAGTGTATGTGTGTGTGTGTGCGTACATGCAGTGCATGTGTGAGTGTGTTCTGTGTGCAAGAGAGAGTGTGGTAGAGAAAAGTTTGGATAGGTGGGCTGTGGCCAGACGACAAAGGACTTGGCATGCCAAGAAATTTGGACTTTACCCTCACGTGATGGGGAGCCATGCACATTTGAAACAAAAAGGCAACTGGATACAGGTAAACATTCTAGAAAGATAACATTAGTGACCATGAAGAGAACAGACTGGAGGGATAAGAAACAGAACAGAAAAACCACTTCCCCAGGGCCAGCTATCCAAACACATGCGAGGGGCTAAACTGGGTGGCAGGATTTGCATGGCTTAGGAGAGGACCTCTAGAACCTGGAGGTTGGCTGTGAGGTTGAAAACATGGGAATTCCGGGCTTTTATGTTTGCATGACAAGGCTGCTATTAAACAACAGTAGCCAATATAGGAGAAGGTTTTGGAGGACAGGTGCTAACTCAGTTTCGAAATGATGAGTCTATACTTATAGAGGTTCTAGATGGAGAAATTTGGTGGCTGATGGAAATACTAATCTGGAATTCAGGAAAGGTGTCTGGCTGGAGATACTAACTTGGGCAGCAGATGGGCCCAGAGAGGATCTTTAGAATGGAGAGAAAGATCCAAGATGGAGCTCTGTAAACACCAACAAGAATGAGCCTGTGAAGGAGATTAAGACAGAGCAGCCAGGAAAAAAAAAAGAAAAAGCATGGAGAGAAAAGAAGCCAGAAGTGCAGGGTATTTCAGGAGGCAATTATATATAAAAAGGAAGACTTTTTATTAGGAGAGAAATCAAACGATTTACAGAGTGAGGGAAGTTACTGTAGGGAGAGAATCTGAAGCTATATGTTAGAGAGGGATGAGGAGATGGGAAGGGTTCCAGGGGTAGTAAGGAAGGAGATGATCCAGACCCCGGGGGGGCGGGGGTGTGTGTGTGTGTGTGTGTGTGCTATCTCTGTCTGCTGACATTGAAAGAAGATATGTGATGATTTTCATTTTAAAATTATATTTGTCTTTCCCCTAAGGACTTGTATTCAGTTTATAGATTATTGTAGGCCTCTTATGATCTCTTTTTTCCATCTTCAATCTGCCCATTGAGCGATTACTATTTCAACCATTTGAAGTACTTAAATCAAGAATGAGCAAGGAAAAGTGATAAATATGGCACTAAACTGAGCTTTTTCCTTAAGCACCTATGAGAAGCAAATTTGTATTTACGTGTTAATATGAGATTTGAGGGTGACATGTTCCTAAGTAGCTTGCATGTATGCTGGAGAAGACACAAGAGGTAGCTTTTAAATTTTAATTTACGTTACACAATTGGGTATGCATACAATTTATAAACAGTATGCATGTGTGTATAGTGATGATGAATGCTTAGAAACTTTATACATGTAGAGTAATGCCAGAAAAAAAATTGGATCCTAATGAGCTAGAAATTTCAACTTATCATGTTAACCTTGGACATTCATAGCATAAAAAAAATGACACAGCTTCTCTGGGAATCTCAATTGATATCCCAATGACAAAGCTTTGTTATGATCATCTTAAATTAAGAAAAAACCTGTTCCTCCAGTATACAAATGACTGGAGGAGGAGGAGGGACTACATACACAGAATATTTTTACAGATGTCATATTAAATCATCTCCTTTTGCTTGCTCAGAGCTGTGCTGATTAACCCCAGGTTGAATCTCTGTACCTGCCCTCACGCCTTGCAGCAACACATTCCACTCAAGTGTTTCTCATTGCGCTTTAAAGAACAAGCCTCAACACTTCAGTGATAGGAAAATGATGTGCTGTTTCCATAGTTTCCTTTAATACGGGGTAATTACAGAGAGATGAAAAGCTTCATTTATATTTCTATTAGCTCTTAGGAAAGTTGTGGTGTTTCAGGGACTGATTTTCAAATCCAATCCTGATTTATCTGAAACTCCTAGATTAGGGTTGATGGCCCCTGGAAACCAGGAAGCATCACATTCAGGTTAGACAGAAAACCTAAGGATGTCCATTCTTCGCTGGGGGTGAGGATAGGGGAGCCAATCCTCTCTTTTCTGTGACCTAGACAAAACGCCACAGGCTCGACAAGGATTCTTCCACGATAAAGAACAGCAACTGGCTGAATAAGAACGACGGCTTAGGAAGTATTTATTTTCTTTGTGTTTTAAAAAATAATCAGAGATGATTTTTTGTTTGTTTCCATAGCTGATCAAACTACGAGATACAAATGTGACTGTCCCCTAAGCCGCAAGTAAACCGAAGTTATTAAACTTACGCGCACTGCAGGCTGTGCGTTAAAGTCTGCCTCAAATACTCGCACTGGTGCAAAGAAAGTCCGGCGGTGGGCGGGCCGCCGGCCTGCGGTCGGAGCTGCTGCCCCACTTCTTTACGCGGCATCTCGGATCCAGAAAGTGGAAAGAACTTTTCCTGGCCTAAGTTTACACTTGTCGAGCAGATGACGTTCCAACAATCGGAGGAAGGCAGAAGGGAAGGAAGAATTCCCCTCTGCCAAGTATTTAAGAGACGCTTGCTTTAGTTCACGTACCCTATGGGAAAAAACACTAGAGCTTCGACCTGAACTATGAAATGGGGCATTATTCACGCACTTGGGTAGAAAAATAAGCATGTGGGGCTCGGAGTGTTCTACAAAGCCACCCGGCATCGCGCTGGGGAGCTGCAGGCTGCAGCGCAGCGCCGGATTGCGGGGTGCCCTGGTCCCTGGCAGGGGCGGCGCTGGTCTGTAGCAGGGCTGCAGGGCTCGCCATCTCCAGGACACCCCTTAATCCCCATTCCCTCCCTATATGTATCTGTGAGTGTGTGTGTAAACCCCAGACCAAGGCGCTCGTTGAGGTCTTCGGCGGGTGTTTAACAGACGGGATGCAACATGCCTATGGCTGATGGAGACTCGAAGCCGGGGAGGGCTCTCCTACCAACTCCGGACGGCTGGGGGTCGGATCCACACGGACATCGAGAGGAGACTCACGCCGCCGGCACTCTAGTCTCGCCCAATCCCTCCCTCCTGCTCCCCGGACACGCACGGGCTCCCCACTGCAGCCGGTGCCGGGCAAACTTACCTTGACTGAGTGTTAACAGCAGCGGCAGCAGCTGCGGCAGCGGCGCGCCCCTCGGCTGTGCTGGCCCCATCCTGGTTCTGCCTGGGGACCGCAGCTGCTCCAGGACTGCAGAGGATACCGCTGACTGAGGGACACAGGAACCTGGAGACTGCAGAAGCTGTGCAGAGGGATTCTCTCCCCAGTCCGGGTGAGAGCGGACAAAAGTTGTGGAGCAGCTGCTGGGGCGCGGAGG